GGCATTTTGACCACATCGGTGGACCACTGGCAGCACACCAAGAAGAAGCATACGAACCATGCCGATATCTTTCTGTTTCTGGCTGTGACTACCGAATTGATTTGATGAGATGTTTTGAGCACCTTTGACATTCGAATCCATCCAAAGTGTGTATGATCTGATGAACTAGACACCGGCCTCGATGGATTGCAGTTTTCAAAAATCGCCCACTGCCCTCTGGGTAAAGGCTTGGCTAGTCCAAAGCCCGGTTGTGAATTGCCCAGGAAAATTCATCTGATTTCGCCTGCTCAGCCTGGCAGTACTTGGTCTACATAACATTCATGAACCGATCTCTATTTTGTAAAAATTATCGTAACCGTTATTTAGAACACAGTTTGGACTCAGACGAGTGTAAAATTTATCTATATTTTACACAAATAAGGGAGGTCTTGAATAGAGGAATACAACGAAAACTTAATTTATCATTTTCTTAAAATAATCTCATTGGAGTAGATAACCACGAGGCGGGACCGAGAACTGCCGGGATCAACCAATTCGACTGCGAAAAGCAAGGTGCAATGGAAACCACTAACCGTAAGTGCACCGGGCACAATTTCCGCCGCACCGCTAATCTCATATCACATAGACTCTCAATGTGGTACTGAGTGAACCCAAATTATGACTTCTTGGACGACTTCGATCGGCCTCCACATCCACAGGCAGGCTTATTTTGCGATTTCCTAAGCATTTTGAGAAACGGTTTGGTTTATACTATGCGAGGTGAGCTCCCCTAATTCCGCTGAACTAACCAAGTTGGATGTAAACAGGAATATCTCTTTGATGCTTAACTTGAGCTTCATGTGCATTTCGGCCCTCGCAGTGGGCAAGTTATATCAGTATTATCAGTTTGCCGAACAGAAATACCATGGGGTCTAACAACGATGCAACAGGACTAGAGGAAAAATGCGAACAGACCACGGGAGCGATTTGAGATCAAAGGAATGGTGCGAATATCGGTGCTGAAGAGATGGCATAAGAAAGCCTAAGACTGCATGGGTCATTTCACACAGCAGCCATACTTCATAATCATTTAAATGAGTCCAAATTGTGATGCAGTATAGCAATAAAGCTAATTCTGAGAGCACACAACTATGGGTCAGAATGGTAATCCAATCAGCTATTCACGACAAACTAACCGTAATGGACATATTGAAGTGGTCACCGCATTGACTGCCCAGAATTAGACTGTTCGACTAAACTGCCATGGATCACAAGACCGATTCAAGGAAGAACATAGAAGTAGTAGTAGGCCTGTCTGCATGCCTTATTGGAGGGAGTTCACGTGATGCGTTATCGGATTCCGGAGAACGTACACCACCAGCTCTTTTAGGAGAGAGAAGAGGTACCATTCTCATGGGTATGTAACTGACCGGGTGAACGAAGAGACTAGTTGAGCTAATCAGCTCTCATTGGACTAATCTGAAGGCCGTTGGTGTAACTGAGACCGCGTGGACGGCTCAGGTGACTGATCCCCACTACATCGAATGCGTAGCTGATCCGCGCGTGACGAGTACCTACCGCAACTTTGAATCTATACAATTAGGGCAATCAGTTTTGTAAAGCTGTACAGAAAAACCCTTGAAATTAAATCGGAACGTTTGATATTCTATCTTGTTCGTCTAACAAATGTATGACAGTACAGTTTGCAAGAAGGGGTTAAGCTAAGGGCTACCATGAGATACCAGTGGAGAGAAATCAAACGATAGTGTGGGGATCCAAACACGACCCCTGGGGTGGTAAGTTGATGGCCACCACTGATCAGACTTCTCAATAAGTAGGCGCTCTAAATGTCCGATTTGCTAATTTTAGACAAAGATTTCGTAGACTTCATTTATCTCTTTTTGCGATACAAAAACATTTGCCTCGGTGTATCACTTTCTAACTCGCCCCTAATGCAGTCGGCTTTATTGCGCGAATTTGGTGGAATGAATCCGTGCTTGTGATAACTTGAATCACACCCTATTCCGAAACACCAAACAAATATGAAAACAACTTGGGTGAAATTAGGTCAACCAAATACATGCACTTTAATCCTTCAGATGGTTGAGGATAGATTACTCGTTACTTCCATCGGCTCCATTGGATTTAAAAAGATCATGAAGTTTTGCGGGAGTTTCATAAACGTCTCTAGTATCATTAGTCTTGGTTCTAAGGCACACCTGTAGGCTTTGCAAAGCAGCAGTATATTGTTGCATAGGCACCAGTGACTCCCTACGACCTCAGTTGCTATCGGACAGATGCAGATGAAAATCAGGAATACGTGTCCCGTAAAATTAGGTAGTGGACTCGATCCACCGACTAGAGATTATCTGTCTTCGAGGAGGACATTCGGCCTCGGTTTCTCTCAATCCGGGATGTGGGTACTTGCGAACATATCAGTTACTTGGGACCACAGGCGGCAGTTGGGTAAATTACTATGCTCCAAGGGATGCAACAGTTCACACACTCAGAGATGGGACTCCTATTTATATTTTCCTTACACCCAGTTTTCGACAAATCACTAGTGGAAATTCACACACGAAGACAATCGGAATATTTATAGTCGTTTTCTGGAATCGAACGAGTTCCCAGTGCAATTTACGCAAATGATCAGATGCCCCAGAGCCTAAGAATGCCAACCAGATATACATGGAGGAAGTCTGATCGCTATTATTCGCATACTAACTCGGAAATAACCCGACTAAACAGGTCACGGAGACACTACTTGTTATTCGCCAGTGTTTCAGTTCAATTACATACACATTTAGCAATGTGTCACGAACTATCAGTATTCCAAACACCGAAAATGCGAAAAACTATAACCACTAGACAGACCGAAACACAGTTGCAAAAGAAGGATGGATAAAAATCCATTCAGACACAGCAATTTTTCCCCTTTTCACAAGACCCTCTCGTAACCAAAGCATTCCATAACAAACAAAATGCAACATCTAAAACATTAATGGCTTTTATGAACCCTAGAAATCCGGTTCTACTACGAAAACAAGAAAACTAACATTCCCAAACAAGACGATATGCGCAAAAATAATCATCAAATCGATTGACTAATGGGACACGTATAGGAAATCCAGTCTTCGGTACGAGTCAAGTTCCTTGGGTGCCATGGGACCAAAGCGTACAGCCGCTCTAGTTAGAGTATAGGCCATGAAGAAAGCGATCCATTGATGGATTATCGTCGAAAAGGCCTTAATTAATTTAATATGTCAGAGTGAACTAATTCTCCGAGGATAGTAAAAGCTAACGGATTTTGATAAACAACCAACTATTACGGAATACCAACGACTCCAATCCATTTGAGTTTAACTCCTATTAACACTGAACAGAGCGTATCAAGAGCAACTTTATGATCAACCGCTTATAAGGGACATCGACAGAACGATTGAAATTCGGATACAGTACACAGCTGATCCGCACAAAAATAATGGAAATAGGAGGATGTAGCAGGGTGACAAACCGCGCACGCAGCACAATACAACCAGCGAAAAGAGGAGGGGGGATAAGGCGCGAATAGAGTATGAATTGGGTGTACTGAGTCGATGATCCGGTGGAATTTGGGTTAAAGAACAAACAGGAGGGTTGTCTCATCGTAGGGTTGTCTGACAGCTGTGAAATGGTCCTCCGACAACAAGTGAACTGGAGTCGTGGAAAGAGATGCACAGAATGAATCCGAGTGCAGTGCCGGTTAAGTACGGACTAACTCGTGGAGGGCATCCGACGCTCGATCAGGAGGCACGGCCGAGCATAGAGATGAAGGAGACGAGAGACGGTAAAAGTGAGATCTGATCTGAGAAAGAAACGTTTGTGCTCCAAACGGCGATTCTGTATCCAAAAATTAGACTGGAAAAGCGAATGGTATTACAGATGGATTGCTGTCTTCAGATCCATGAGACTGAGTGATATTTAACGGGACCAGTGACGTGTTTTATTATTTCAGGTGTGTATTCTTGAAACAGTCGAGCGAGCATCGATCACCGTGTGAAAGCACACATCCAGGCGCGGGCAAAAAAAGCCGTAGCAAAAGGAGTATGTAGAAATAAAAAGAAGACAAAGCAGAGCAGAAGGGAACAAAGAATGCTCCAGAGTGCAGTTACCGTTCGAGTATTGAGCTCTTAAAAAACGCAAAATCCGCTAGACTGGGCGAGGAAAAACAATAATTCAGATAGAAAAACAAACCGGATTGGATAGATGATGAAGGAACTAGCCTGGTCATCACCGTTATCATCATCATCGTTGGAGGGACAGTGGGGTGGAAGTAGCAATGGCGGTAGAAATGATCCCTGGAGGGCAACAATATTCACCCACAATTCAGGATTTGGGATCCGGAATGAATCAAAAGCAAACACACGTGCGAACATACAGAAAGAAATCGAGTTATTCTGGACAAGCGTTGCGCTACTTTGAGAAAACAGGTTAGTGCAGAGCGAGCTAGCGAGCGAGTGATCAGAGCGTATGCGAACAAGGGACGATGGTCGACACAGGCGCATGGACCCCATCGGCCCAAAAGTCCAACGTCCTAAGGCCTGTCAGTTTGTGAGTGTGCCAAGTTGAATAACTGATCCAAAAAGGGTCAAAGTTCAACCAGGCGAGTAAATCGATGTGTAATAGACAGGCTTTGACTGGGAGATGATCAAATCGAAAGTGACCGAACCACCAGGCATTGACTCTCTCTCTCTCTCTAGCTCCTTTTATTTGGAAGCGGATTCATTATTGACTTCGGGTGATACGTTGTTAAAGTTGTTCACTGGAGCACCACTGTTGGACGGTACGTCGCCGCTACCCACCGAATCCAGCTCGGTCAACGACTGACCATCTTCGGGAACACCATCATCTCCGGTGCGTGAGGAAATACTACCGGCAAGTGGGCGTGGAAGTCGTGGACCGGAACTGGAATGGAAGATAATAACGAAAAAAGTGTAAACAGTAACACTGTGACCATATGCATGCACAGTGTAACTAACAACAGCAACGTCAAATGACAGTGTTCTCACATTGACAAATGAATACCTTTATTGATGTATCAGAACGAAACAACACTAAATCAAGAGGACGCAATCAAATACATGACCCTGTTTGATGAGAGCGAACAGGAAGCACCAAGCACGACAATATGGTTTGCACAATGCTGAAAACAGATTGAATCAAACAATGCAAGAAAATCAGCAAACAGGAAGTATTGACGATGACAGTGGAAATGCAACACCGTATGAAATGACAACGAAGCTTCGTCGAAAAGTAGACAACTCAGATTAAATGAAGACGGTAACTGGATGGAAATACGTGTTCACTTTGGCAGGGGAGTAAATGACATGAATCACAGTCAACGAGCAAACATACCAATGACTTGTGCTACATTAGCACCACACGGCGGCAGTTACATTGGATACTAAACACTCAATACTCATTGGACTGCTGATCGTGCACATCCAGTTTACCACTGGTACTGTATGAAGGATAACGTAGGTTGACTAGAGGTACAGAGGATGCAATAACTAATGGTTGTTTTCACAAGTGTGCAATCGTCAATGAACCTTGATACTGTAGTTATGAAAGAAATAATGATAGTCGTTAGGTGAATAAAAAAAGCCGAGTATTGGACGCCAGACTTGGTACTTCGCATAAAACGTGTCACAGATTAGTTTATAACTTGAGACTGAGATGCCTATCGAATTAAAGACGAGATGAATCATCTCGAAGCACAACAAAATTGCCCACTGTGCATCGCTCGACATAAAAGAATCAGACGCTTGTATATGGGAAAAAACAGCGATAGCCACTAGTTGGGCAGAAAATGGCGCAACACACAAAGAAGGAATCTTCTTAACTGCTCAGTTGCTATTGAATTACTGAGTTGAGCTATGCACCACATTCTGGAAAGCTCCAATAATTTTGAGACTGGCATAATAAGAATGTTTTGAAAGTAGCCAAAACTTCACAAAACTCCTCAGGGTGATATGTGGTGGATGGTTTGGTGAGCAGATTTCAATATCGGATTCCTCTCCCAAATGCCACTTAATGACCTGATTCGCCGAGGAATTTCCACAAATCAACACTGCCTAGCCGAGATATTTACAATGCAATGGGGGAACATCTACCATCTACTGGGAGTAGCTAAACCCCGAAAGTAAAGTAACCATATTCTGGCTCTGACAGGGATCACCGACTTGATCGGGCACATTCGACTCCGTTTGAACGGTATACGATCCGATAAACTGGACACCTACCCGAATGGAATGCAGTTTGCAAACACTATTCCGCTGCCTTGTGGGTCAGGATTTGGCTAACTGAAGGTTCCGGTTGTGAATTCCTCTTATCTGATTTGGTCTGACCAACCTGTCAGTATTGCACCCACAAGTAAACTATGAAGATTTTTTCATTGACAAATACCTTGTACCGTGATTTGTTACGCACACACCCTGGACTCAGACGTGGGTGAAATATACATATTGGGGCAACAAGGTTGGTTTCGGGGCTACAGCAAAGTTCAAAGGCCACTGGCAGCTAGCTCATCTAGGCAGCTGAAAACCTTGAATTCATACAAACCATGATGGGGCGCGTGAACTGACCCCAGGGCTACCGGGAAATTTTCCAATGGGTCCCTAGCAAACTACGGAATGGAAGCGTCACATTGATGCATTAAATTTAGAACTCACTGTCATAAGTTTGGGGTGAGTTTACTAAATCGACCACGTATTTTTTGTTGCAGGTGGAGGTGGTGGGAAGTGTTGGGACTGAAGAGTGTGTCCAGACGGGAATCGGTACGAAAACCTCTGCTTTGAGCGAACAAATGTGTTCTGTGAACATTAACTTCTAGTACTTGTGCTAAAAAGTGACAAATGAATTCTTCTAGTAAAAGGCTGGGGACAGACCCCATTGCCTCAATACATGTCACATGAATCGGAGACAAGTGTTGATGAATACCCAGGCTTCGATATCGAGGACTAGTTTTTTACCACAAAAACAGGATAGTGGCCACACCCAAAACCAAAGCCCAGTGCTACTAGCACAATCTGCTTTTTGTTTCTTGTTGATCGCGCGCAAGAACAGTTGGGCTTACTTGATCTCAAAGGTCTTACATGAATTCAGTTTCGGACTATGACATAGTTGATAAAAGTCAACGTGAGACGCAGCAAATGAAATACACGGAAATAGATCTGTTCCTCTCATTCTAGTCAAAGCCGCTTCTTCGTTACGGACCTAGAACTAGTAACGAATCCCCTATATATCCTCCATGGGAGACAAACGCATGCCAAAGATTACAAATAGCCAACACGAATCGCTTCAGCTGGATGCCAAAAACGTTTGGAGATTATCAAGGTAAAGTACAACCGAAAAGGTTTTTCGTTGACAACGATAACAGAACAGAGCAAGCCTTGATTGAACGCCGACTTACTGGGAGTCTGTTTGTTTACAAGTGTGTGCACGCCAGGAATGGGAGCGAAATTATGCAATTTCGCTTGGTTGAGGACAGACCAAAAGAACGCCTCAGCGCACTGAATAAAAACGGCAGCAACTAGGGATTAAAAGTTACATTAAACGGAAAGGAGACATTCCGTCCTGATGAGAGTCGAACGTTTATAATCTGTGGTTCACGTGGATCGGTCGCCTAAACCCAGCAGCTTACGTAGCTCAAACGCAGAAAGCCTAGATCAGAAGAGAAGCGATTGTGCACACCGATCGGGTGGTAAAAATAAATGGGTTTTACGTCGTTTCTGATCTCTTTTCATTTCCTATTTGATGCAAACGGTACCAGTGGAAACGAAGTCATTATCAAAATTTGAACGATGACGATGAACGAGTTGCGCATGGAAAAGCAAATCGTTATTGGCTAAAATAGCTATGTTGCGAAATACAAGTGACTCAGAACGAAAGCTATAGGAATGCGAAACTGAGGCCATTGCCTACTCCACAGGACTATCGTGATAGTTGACCATTAGGAGCGCAAACATTGCGCAATGCCACAGGGAAGAGTTAAACCGTTGGCCATTCAAGTCATGGAAGAACCCGACTTTGCTATGTACGGGCAACATATTGGATGAACACATGACCGGTAATGTGGGCAATCGAGAAACGGGGCGCGTGTGAACTTCAAGATTGGTTGCGTCCTAAGGCTGAGTCACGGAAGCCGTGCAGTACGCAAACCAGTGAACTGAAAAGCCCATAACTGAAACAGAGTTGCATTCAGCACGAATGTGCTAGCACACGCACACACGCTCATACATACATACATACATACGTACATACATACACACACACAGAGACGACTGCCTCACACACACAGTCAGCCAAATACCTAAATAGACAATTTGGTAGGTTAGTTGTGCGCCTGTGCGCGTGCCAGTGGTGATGCAGCTTACGGCCCGAAAAACGGTGCCAAGTGGTACACGAACAGGACGCTCCCGCTGCGTCTACAACTATGTTAATCGATATCGATGAAGCCAATCACATAGAGACCAGTGCGACGGACTGTTCGAAAACACGTGAAAGCAAGTCATCGGTACTCATAGGAATTGCGATGACGACTATCAGTGGATGAATGGGATTGTCACTAAATCCAAACGTATAGGTAATGAAATAATAATCAAACACACAGGGGCTTGAAACGAATTGAAACATAATACATAAACGCGCATCCAGAGTGCACCGAAAGGTACTAACACTTAATCACCAGCCTGAAAAAAGGGACTAGCATGGCACATAAAAAGACGAGATAATAAAATTTTACATTGTTGGCAATTTTGGATATTTTATTGACCAAATAAACTAATACAGCCTGTGAATACGACGGATAACTGACTGGTTCCTACGAATGATGGGGGACAAAAACAATAATGGTTGAAATGACAGAACTGGAAGATTCATATAAGGGTGTGGATGATATTTGATCGGATGAGTCAACAAAAGGGACCAGAAAAAACCATGCATATGTTGTAGATACAAAAATAACTACGAAATAAAATAGCGCGGGAGTCAGAGTTAGGAGCAGTAAAATAAACGCTGTGCCGACCTAAATGATGACAAGCACTGATTAGAATAACAATCCTAGTATACACTATACCGAGGTTGAATGGGATCAGAGGCAGCAAGGGACTCACACACAGTAGTGCGGAATTTGTTGTCCCGCGTATAGCACACAGCAATCGAAGTGTCTTCAATCGGAGCGACTACGACGAACCCGATAGAACAAACCAGGTGAAAATATACCACAAGACACGATGAAATCAAAGCGGTTTCTCGATTTGGAGTTGGAATACATGAATCGACATTTTGTGGTGTGAATAGCGCGATTAAACAAAACAAAAGAGGGCTAGGCAGGTCAAATGGGGAACATAATCAGATGAATAGCACGGCATCATCCAATAGTTATTCGATCATGAACACGCAGTCTATGTCCTAAATGGGTAACTCGAAAATCCCATTGAGGACAATAAGATAGTGAGTTGATGAGGAGTAACGTAAATGGTGCTATGGTTGACTCAAGCTCAAAAGACGAAGTCTGCTTGCATCTTCGCGAAGGTTGTTTTTATCGACGGCTGCGATTTGAACAGATGGACAATGAAACTGTTCAAAAGGATGCTTGATATAGTCCATGTGGTTGAAGGGAGAATCCCTGGGAGAGATTCCTCGTTAAGTCAGCTACGCTCGTCAATGAGTTCACCGTTCTGCTTTTTGTACCCTATGTAGCTAATGGACGAAATCCGGCGTGTTCGCTTTACAGGACACCACGGACGTCTCGAGAAAACCTTGTTTATAGCCCCGGTAGGTTATTTCGCTCGCCTTCCTCGCCGTGAATTAAAAGCTCCCTAGATTGTACTAACAAGAAGTGTTATGCCGAGTAAAAACGCGGTACCACCGAAATAAAAATGAGGCATTATTCGGATGCACTG